AGCGGGCGGGTCAGGAGAGGTCTGCCACGCCATGTGGTCACCTCCGGGGCAGGTGGGGCTCGAACTCATGCGGAAGCGGCTTTAGCTTCTTAGTGTTGTGCTTTAACCCGCTGCGCCACCAGGGAGGGCCACCATTGTGTTTATTTTTAATGGTACATGTATGCATTCTAATGAATGAGCAATAATATGCCAAGTGATTCTCTCTAATGACATAATTTGTTGTTTCCTGATTCAGAAGCATTTCTATAAATTGACTATAAATGTTCACTTTTCAAAAATGTGTATAACTTGATTCAGAACAAAGAAAATGTACACAACTAGTGACATAAAAACTTTTTAAAAGAACCAAGTGGATATGCTAGATTTGAAACCTACAATAGTGATAAATGAAAAACTTAATAGATGGGGCTTAACAGAAAGCTGAACACATCAAGAAAAGGAATCTGTAAACTTCAAGTAAAAAGAGAAAACAAATTTTTAAAAAATTCAGTTTTCAAATTTCAGTATCTATGAAGTATTACTCCAAAATGTGAGATTTTATTAAGTTGTAAATATAAATGAAGTGGGGTGTTATTATACATGGAGTTGGCATTCCAGAAAGAAGAGATAATGAAATCAAAGAATATTTGTGAAGATAATGACTGAGGCCTTTTCAAAATTATTGGAAGTCATAAACCACAGATTCTAGGCGCTCAGTGAACTTTACATGGAATAAATATATAGAGAACCACATTTAGGCATATCACAGTCAAATGGTTGAAACCCAAAAGAGCAGAACTTAAAAACAGGTAAGGGAAAAATGCATATTATGTATAGGAAAGTAAAATACAAATTAAAATTGATTTTTCACAAGAAACAATAAAGGGCATAAAATAGTAGGATGGCATTTATAAAAGGTTTATAGAAAAATAACTTAAACTGTACTTCTAAATGCAATGAAAATGTCCCTTAAAAAAGGAGGGCCCTCCCTGGTGGTGCAGTGGGTTAAAGCACAACACTATGAAGCTAAAGCTGCTTCAACATGAGTTCTATCCCTGGGTCTGGAAGTGATCCACATAGCGCAGCAGACCTCTCCTGGCCCATCCACTGCTCCCCTCAGCAGGGTACTTTGTCATTTAGCCTGTTCTGCTCCCCACTCTGTCTCTGGTGAATCCTCTCACCACCCATGCACCTCTGGCCTATACCCTAGTTCTGTATGCACAAATACATAAATCTTTTTTTAAAATCCCAGCAGAATATACTTCTTAGAAATGAGTATAGTAAAGGCCCTTCCTTGTGATGCAACAGGTTAAAGCAGTGTTGTTCGTTAGTCTGCTATTCTGTTCCCTACTCTGTCTCTGGCGAATCCTCTCACCACCCTGCACCTGTGACCTGTACCCCAGATCTGTATACATAACTAAATTTTTAAAACGGAAAACACCTATAAAAGAAAAAGAAGTTACAATAATTTAACATTTTGACTTGGCCCCTTTATTCACTGTCGAAAGAGCCCTAACAAGAAGACTGTGTTAAGGGATGGCATTCATTTTTCTTGCCTGTCCTTGGGTGCTTCTCGGTTCATGAAGCTACCTCAAAATGTGCAAGACTGTTCACTGGAACATTTGTCAGAGAGAAAAAAATAGAAAAAATAAATGAAGGCTACCATTGGTGGGTTAACATAAGGTGCATTTCTACTCCCAGAGTGGAAACTAGAGGCAGCACATGAGGAGCCCAGAGCATAAAACGTAAGGGCTGCCCACTCCACACGCATATAGACACAGACAACACTGAGTGCCCCCTTCCTCCTCCCAAAGGCTGGAGGGGTTCAAAATATAACCAGTAAAAGAAAATCACTTGCTACATTCCTTTACACTCCCCAGTTTCCCTATTTTCAAATATGCATTCTCAAAACTTTAAGCAGCACAAGACAGTCTTGGACAGCCAATTCACTCCAGGAACAGCCTCCAAATTCTGGCAAAATTTTAACAAATGTTAATCTTTATATGTGTGTGTGTGTAACAGTTTATTTTTACATCATTTTGTGCCTTTTCCCATCTCTGTTATAACAGTGAGCTTACCATCACCAAATCACCCATGTGCCATAACCATCATCCAGTCCACCCCACCCCCTTTTTGATCCCATTCTCTACTCCATCCAAGTAGAATGTCTGTGGTATATAGTTGTTCATTATTATTATTATTATTTTCTCTTCTAGTCCTTTTTATTCCTGCTATGAGTGAAACCATCTGGTATTTTTCTTTTTCTTTCTGGCTTATTTCACTAAGCATAACACCTTCCAGCCCCATCCATGTTGATACAAAAGGCAAGTTTTTTTGTTTTTGTTTTTGTTTTGGTTGCTGAGTAATATTCCACTGTGTATATGTACCACAACTTTTTAATCCAGTCATCTACTTTTGGGCCTGTGGGTTGATTCCATGTCTTTCCTATTGTAAATAAAGCATCAATAAACATGGGGTACAGGTGTCTTTCTGTAACGAATGTTAATCTTAATGAAGAGTATGAAGATTTTCATATAAAGCATTTGCAGATGGATATGGAAAAGTATTTTACAGGTGGATAAATGTATGTTAAGTAGTATTTATAATCTGAACTCTGCCACTTGATAGCTAGCCTATTTTTGCAAGTTTAAAAATATGTTGTGCACTTAACACAGGCTGGTAAAATAAGAGGAAATACACCTTCTGAGAGCAGTGGAGCAATAAAGCCACACTTTGTTTATTAAAACAGGACCCTATCTATAATAAATCATTTAACAGAAAATATCTAAATAAAGATTGTCTAGATAATGAATAATAGCTCTATTTCAACAAGATAAATTCCCAACTTCCTACTATTGATATAGTAATGCTTATTAGGTGATTTAGACTTAAAAATTTTTTCTATGTAATTATTTTTGCTCAGATCAGTATACCAGCATGATAATAGCTGCTATTCTTGTCCTTCATTATGTATGAAACTGAGAGCTACCTACATTTCTAGTTATTTTTGAAAGTGGGTAGGGGAAAGAGAGGAAGCAGCATGGTCAACTGAAACTAAAAAAATGCTTCTGCAATTTAGACTTCTTAAAAAAAATGTACTTATGCACACAGAACTGGGGTACAGGCCAGAGGTTCAGGGGTGATGAGAGGATTCACCAGAGACAGAGTGGGGAGCAGAACAGGCAGATCATCGAAGTACACTGCTGAGGAGAGCAGCAGGTGGGTCAGGAGAGATCTGCTGCACCATGTGAGTCAGCTCCCTGGCCAGGGATGTTATTCATGCTGAAGCAGATGCAGCCAGCTTCCCAGAGCTGTGCCTTAACTGGTTACACCACCAGGGAGGGCCCATGACTTACAATTTTCACTAGATACAGATAATAGTGGAAAATGAGAAGAGAAAGATCTTTCTACTTACAGGGAACCTGAGCAGCATCTTCGGGGAAGCAACAATCAGGGGTTTTCTGAAGTTCCGAACCATCTGTCTTCTCAGCAGGTGGAAATATTGGGCAGGAGTGGTTGGGTTCGCCACAAACATGTTCACTGTGTCACTGTCCACCCCCTCTTCGGTGCTGTCACACATCTGAGAAGGAAATAGTACAGAACCTTCAGAACTGTCTGATCCAGTCATGACAACAATATGTCACCCAAAGTAAACACAGAATAAGGAGAAAAAAACACATCCCTCCATCATAGAAAACTATCCAAAGGTGAGTATGTCACCTGTGGAGAATGACCCAAAACACAGGCTGGATGGCTCCGCTCATCTGCCCCAGTCTGGGACTTTAACAGATTTGTTTCCACACACACCTGATCACAAGTAGCACCTGGAGAGGACTTTTTAAAGAATGAAGATTCTGATTCCTTAATTCCTATGAGGATAAGCTGGTGGAATGAAGTAACATTAGGATCTCACTCTCCTAGTAAGATAAGCTCAATTTTAGTTTAGTGTAGTTTAGTTTTTTAAGCTTTAATGTATTTATTTTTGGACAGAACTGGGGTATAAGCCAGAGGTGCAGAGGTGGGTGGGGAGTGGTTGGTGAAGATGAAAGAATTCACCAGAGACAGAGTGGGGACAAGAACAGGAAATTTTTCCTGAAATATATGGCTAAGGGGAGCAGCAGGTGAGGAAGAGGAGGTCTGGGGCACCTTATGTGGCTTATCTCCCTGGCTGGGGGCTAAACTCAGGTCATAAAAGCAATAGCACTGAGGCTTAACCCCTAGGACACCAGGAAGGCCCTAATTTAGACAAAAACAAAATCAAAAGCAACTAACAAGGTTAAAAAGATGTGAGCAAAGAACTAAATTAAGAAGATCCTGGTGGAACAGACAGTGGTATGACCTCTTCACCCCATTCCAGAAGAAAGCAAGTTGGCAAAATCCTGGGAATTCTTACTAGTGCCCCGTGGCAGTTTGGAAAAAGCACGTGAGCAGACTACCCAGGGGAGTGTGGTGAGCAGAGGCAAGATCTAGAGTTTAAGCCACTTTGTAGTAGGGTTTAAGCTCATAGAGGCAAATGGGGCAGCCATACTGGCCTCTTTCAGGGCACAGTGCAGATCAAGGAAAGAGATGGGAGCCCATGTAAGAAGTCTACACCCCGGATAGGGACAGTGAATGCTAGTGTTGGGTTAGTAATAGAATCACAGCAAAGACGGCAGAATTGAGCAAGAAAACCCTTTGGCCAGCAGAGCTCTGTCCTCCCACTTCACATCCCCAGCTCCACACACTGGACCCTGAACTCAACTGTTGTTCCAAGACGAGTGTTGGAACAATGTTGGTAACAATTGGGAAGGTTCTGGCCAGTCTCGATCATCTGATTAGCCTACTTAGATAATATTCCTGATAAAGCTCTGCCAACCCTCATGAAAACTTTGCAATAACCAAGCCCCTTTTTGTGCTTTGCATATCTTCCTTGTTCTCCTCCCTTTTGCCTATAAAAGACTTTAATTTGGGATAGCACCTTGGAACTCCTTTCTATCTGCTACATTGGATGCTGTACAATTCATGAATCATTGAATGAAGCCAATAAAAATCTTAAATTTTTACTCAGTTGAATTTTTTTTAAAGATTTATTTATTTATTCATACAGAACTGGGGTACAGGCCAGAGATGCGGAGGGTGAGAGGATTCACCAGAGACAGAGCGGGGAGCAGAACAGGCAGATGAAGGAAGCACACTGCTGAGGGGAGCAGCGGGCCGTCAGGAGAGGTCTGCCGCGCCCTGTGGTCACCTCCGGGGCAGGCGGGAATCGAACTCATGCAGAATTGGCTTAAGCTTCTTAGTACTGTGCTTTAACCCGCTGCACCACCAGGGAGGGCCCTGAATTTTGTTTTTTTAAGCATATCTTTAAACCCAGTATCTCCTCCTCCACATTTATTCCAATCCAGCTAATGCCACAAGAGTATACTCCCCAGCCCCTACTACATCTACACATGTCCTGTCATCTGCTACCATTTTCTCTGCCTTCCGATGACTACACAGGGCCCTCAACACTCTGGTCTAGAGTCAACACAGCCCTTGCATAGGATGTGCCCCCCATCTTTCCCACACAGGGCAATCATTCTAGTTACTATACCCACTCTCCCGCATCACCATATTTTATCTCCCTACTGTAACATTCCTATCAGCATACAGGCTTACTATTACTCTTTTAAAGTAAAAACAAGAACTATTCAACACAATTTCCCCTGCCCAGCTATTGCGCCCCTTCCTTTCCTTTGCCCTCTTGGGATGCCAAAAAGCATGAGCTAATATACTGGAAACATCATGTTTCCAACGGATATTGAAATGGCATTATCTGACTCATCCAAATAATATCTTACAACTTAAGGTGCATAGTAAGTTATCTGCAGGAGGTAATTCTATTTCAAAGCACATTGGAATCCAAGGAGCATGTGACATACCTGCAAGAAACGCTCAATTCGACAAGATGAGTGGTCTGGCCCAGCCCCATCATACCCGTGTGGAAGGAGAATAACAATGCCGCTCTGCAGGAGCCACTTGGCCTCACCTGAAATAGCACAGGTAGAGTATAGGCTCTATGAAGCATGTGTATACAGTCTGCTGTGACTTGCAGAGTGATATAAACATTAGTTTACGAGTGCTCTGACCCCTACAGCTATTTCAGCCCTTGTACTTTTTAGCACTGTTGTACCTGCTTAGGGGGAGAACAGCCATCACAAAGGCTGAAACCCTACAGTGACATGAGCATAGGGCTTTAACAAGTGGAAGAGAAGCTCAAAGGTAAACACCCTGGCTTCTAGAACAGCATGTGCCCCTTTGGTTTTGCCTCAGGCACAACTGACTCCAAGCTTTCATCATAGCACCTCTTACAACATAGGCCACTGTCCTCAAACTTTGTTAAATAGTCTCTGAACAAGACAAAGTCCAGTATCCTCAAGGCATGTTTCCTCCTTACAACTACAAAGTTACAGAGAAACACAACCAGAGAAAGGGGCTGAAGTGTACACTCAAAAGCTGAGTGTTCCCTTAGATTCTGGTTGCCTCCAGAAAATAAGGTGGAGGGACTGAGCGAGCTTTACACTTATATTATATACACTTTGAATATTACAATGAGCAGCATTGTAATGATGATTAAAAATAACAAAGATGTTTCAACTTTCAGATAGTTAACTATCCCCAGCATTGAGGGAAGTGGATTTTCTAGGCCACCATTCACTCTCATCACAAGTCTTCACCATTTCTCCACAGACCCCTTGTGATTCATGTCATAGTTACACAACATTCCCTAAGAGCAGACCCAAAGCCAAGCCAGCTGGGCGCCGGCAGGCACAGACAGACTCGCTCCAGCCAGGTACATTCCCACGGTGATGAGAAGCCCACTGCACAGCCCTCCTGCTGAGACCCAAATTCCTTGGCGACAGAGAACCTAAGTGTTCTCCCCAGTGGTTTATTTAACAGCTTGATAGCTGTCACACACACATGGGTGGAAGAGCAACCCCCAACTCTCTGGAAAGGCTGGGGTACAAGAAGTCTCATAAACAGCTGTGGCCCCTTTTCATAAAGTCATCTTCATGAGGCTGATGCATGCACCCACAATATACCCACATGGTCGCACCTACCTCCTGAGATGAATGTGTCAAAGATGATCTGGGCACCATTGAAGAAATCACCAAACTGAGCCTCCCAGAGGGGTAGTAATTTAGGGCTTTCAATGCTCATCCCATATTCAAATCCCAGGACAGCTTCTTCAGACAGTGGGCTGTTGCTGACCTAAAGGAAAGAAAAAGAACAGAGATACTGTTGTGCATGGGAGACATAACATGCGTCAGTAAAGGTGAAGTATCCCACTTATACAAACCTCTCAAAAGGGAGGTGGGAGAGGAAAGCTTTGTTTTCATGTACCTCCAGTTCCTCTGAGAAAGATCTATTGCTCTCTCTGAGTGATGCATATGGAAAAAGTAAAGACAAAGAAAGGAAGAGATAAAAACAGTTGGAATATAGCATTCAAGGCTTTCTTAGAGAATAAGCAAAATAACTTCTCAGATGACCCAACATCAAGACAGAATAAAACTATGTCATGCAAAAGACAAGTATTGTATGTTTTCACTCATGTGAGAGATTAAAAAAAAAAATTAAACAAGCTCTTAGAATACAAGAAAAAATGGGGAGGAGAAAAGAGATGTATAAATCAGGTAAGAAGGAGACCAGATTTTTGGTGGGGTCAGCTAGGCAAATCATACTGCTGTATACCTGAAACCTATATAATGTTATAAAGCAACATTAAATTAAATAAATATCTTTGTTTTGATGTCACAAAACAAAGGGGGACATTACTATAAAAGGCCTACCTTTGGTTAGAATCTATTGTTCTATTATCCTATGTACATATTAAGCCAATGAAGTATCATACAGTGAAATAAAAAAAAAGATTACAAAATTAATTTCTGGTGAGACTAAGGAGATATGACAATTCAATTCGGCACAATTCTGAACTGGGTTTGAAGATGAAATGCCAGTCCTGTCTCATTGTTAATTTCCTGACTTGGCAGGGGGGACTGTGCTGACTTAGGAGAATGTCCTTGTGGTAGGAAATACACATTTAGGACATCAGATAGGCAACCTGATGTATCCAACTTGATGTCTCAGATATTTTACAATGAGAAAAAGTTATTTGTATTATACCTCCAACTTTTTTTTTGTAATCTTGTGTTTGTTTCAGAACTTTTCTAAGAGATCTTTTTGACATATTTATAGAATATCATCTGGCAATTAAAAAAATGCAATACACTCCACCAGTAATATACCTTGAAAACATGATGGTGAGTGAAAGACGCTAGTCAGAAAAGGCCATGGAATATATGATTCCATTCACATGAAAACACCAGAACAGGCAAATTAATAGAAACAGAAAGCAGATCAGTAATTGCCAGGGGCAGGCGGGGGAAGGCGTGTGGCATGACTGCAACATGCTTTTGGGTGGTGAAAATGTTCTGAAGTTAGATCATGGTGATGGCAGCACAACCCACTGAATACACTAAAACCCACACATTGTACACATTGTATATTAATAAGTAAAAATAAAATAAAATTTACACTGTCGGGCTCTCCCTGACACTGCCAAGCTATCACAGCCACTGTAGCCTGAGTTTGATCCCCAGCCCCGGAGGTGACCCACTTGGCACGGCAGACCTCTCCTCACCTGCCCGCTGCTCCCCTCAGCAGGGTGTTTCAGTCCATCTGCCTGTTCTGCCCTCCACTCTGTCTCTGGTGAATCCTCTCACCCCCCCATACCTCTGGCCTGTACCCCAGTCCTGTATGCATAAATAAATAAAATATTTTTTAAATAAATTAATTAAAAAAACTTACATTCTGTCAATTATACCTCAAAAAGGATGCAAATAAAACTGGGGAAAATTATACCTCCATTATGATTAAAACTATACAAGTTTTTTGTTTATATGGATAGAACTCAATGACAGAACAGAAAAATAAAAATAGATGACTTTTTATCATAGTAGATTTGCATTATTTAGCTTTTCTGTTTTCTATTTGTTTCAGTTATCTATAGAGTTAACTTTTTCAAAGACCCATACTTTTCTCAGATTTGTGAGTTTGATATAAATGGGCTCGGATGGGCTACTTTACTCGTTCCTCTGCCTATTCTCACCTCTTTCCTCATCCTTGTTCCTACCAAGGTTAACGTACCACTCATATTATGAATCAATCCTTCCTTTTAACTCCATCACTTAACCCCTCTTTTCGGAATCTCTCCTCACTCACTTCTTCCTTTCAGCAAATAGACAGTCAAAAGCTCAAACTGGACAACTACTCCCCTCAGCACTGCTTTCCAGCCTTTGCTATGTTGCAGTATTCTCTATCCTACACTCTCTTTCCATTTTGCAACCCTTTATTTAGAAGTATAGAATCCAAAGCTGCCAACATCTGCTTCTAGTTGCTTTAAGAATCTTGTAAACATAATCATCAGTATTCATGTTTTACAATAGGTAATGAAATATCCTACCTCAAGGAACCCTTTCTGATTAGGGTCCATATGGTTCAGAGGAATATACATGTCATCAGTCTTCTGGCAAACGACCATGGCATGCCTGTGACTAAAAGTCCCACGGCCAACATCTTGACCACTCAGACGAACATTAAAACCTAAACAAGCAAGCAAGAAAGAAAACGTCCAGATTCCCACAAATAACCAACTAATAATGAGTCCTGACTCTGAATTCTTAATATCAGTTCACTCCAAGATTTTTCCTTAGGATAACAAATATCCTTGTGAAAATATACTTGCCCTACATTCAAAAGTCTGTAGTCAAGGTGAGATTGGATAGGAATGGAGAGTCAGCATTTACCCTACAATTTTCAGAAGAAAATATCCTTCAAATGCATCTAGCATTGAACCGTTTGTTTCCCAAGAATAATTATTCTATAGAGTATTTTCTGATGAAAGTTGTCAACACCACTTATATTCATATAAAATGATATCGTAAAGACAGGTTATTGCAACTGAAAACCAGAGATAGTACATATAACAAACACCATACAAGGCATTCCCTACAAGTTATACAGCTGAACAGAGCCGTCTTACCTTGAGCAAGTAATGAGCCCAAGGCAAGAGCTTCTGCTGTAGCCCAGTCTAACTTTGTTCCATCCATCACTTTCTCCATTCTGGACTGTATAATTGAAGAGGAGCAAAAAAAAGAAAGAAAGAAAGAAAAGAAAAACGTTTAAGAGTCTGTACCTTTATTCATGCTGAATTCAAAAAATAAAATGCGACACCATAACAAAAACTTAATGTTAAGGCCGTCCCTGGCGGTGCATCGGGTTAGGATGCAGCAAAGCAAGATGGCTGCTGCCCCTTCACCGTGAGCTGGATCCAGCTGGAAGGTGGTTCTCATGGCCAGACCTCTCCTGTCTCACCCACTGCTCCCCTCAGCAGTTTATTTCCTCGATCTGCCTGTTCTGATCCCCTCACTGCCCCTACACCTCTGGCCTGTGCGCATAAATAAATAAATTTTAAAAGAAAAAAAAAAAACCTGGCAAAACAAGCAAGCGTCCCAGGTTAGTGGTTAACACTGCAGACGAATGGAGGGAGATGGCATCAAGGAAGGAGCCATGGGAAATGGGCTGGTAATATTCTGGTTCTTATGCTGATGGTGAGTACATAGCTCTCAAAAATAATTTCTATACTTACAAAAAAACAAAATGAAGCTAATATTTTAAGATAATTCAGCAGGCAAAGTTTTTTTCATCCAGCGTCAAGAAAGCCTTCAAGCCCTTATTGTCTCATTGTAAATACTGAAAGTCCCATGTTTCAAGAAGGCCTCAATTCCCAGGCAAACCAAGAGAATTTTTCATCCCATATTTAACATTAAACAATATGGAAAACCTCAACTGTTTAAGGAAGACTTGCCTTCAAGGGCATGTATGATTTTTGTTGGCTGTATTAAGCTTACAGATTATTTTTTAAACCATACAAAAGAATGAAAGTATTTTCTGCTCAATGGTCAGAAGACTTAGAACAGGCACTCCAATACTATTGTATCATTTTTTTTTTAAAGATTTATTTATTTGTGCATACAGAACTGGGGTACAGGCCAGAGGCTCAGGGCCAGCGAGAGGCTTCACCAGAGACAGAGAGGGGAGCAGAACAGGCAGATCCACGAAGTACACTGCTGAGGGGAGCAGCGGGCAGGTCAGGAGAGGTCTGCCCTCACCATGTGGTCACCTCCGGGGCAGGCAGGGATCGAACTCATGCGGAAGTGGCTTTAGATTCCCAGTGCTATGCTTTAACCCGCGGCGCCACCAGGGAGGGCCCAATATTGTATCTTTTTAATGCTGTGCATGTAACGTTAAACATATGCAAATGATTAGATATGACATATACACAGAGGAAGTATAAATATACATAGAGGAAAGACAGACATAGACAAAATTGAACTTAAATTGACTCATGTTACTAAAATACAAATAGGCTGGGTCTCCAGAACCCAAAGACACACTGTCAAGATTTGCCAAATGAATCAGCCAACTAAACAACCAGCAATGGTGCAGCAACATCAGTTCTCTTATTGCACAAGAACAACAAAGGGTAACCAGAGATGTCAGTGCTCCTACCTGGACATACATCTTCAGAAGGTGACTATGTATCTGGAGTTCCTCTGGCACCTCTACAGACTTTTTGGCAACAAACCGCAAGAGGTCAAGGGGCACACCTGTGTTCCAGGTGGTAATGCAAGCTTCCGGCTGAACCAGGCCCTGCCAGTGGGCCTGCAGGTTGGTGGCAGGGGGGCTGTAGTTGGCCATGTTAGTTAAATGGTTATTTAATTTTGCATAGTAAGAAGTTTTGATTTCTGTCACCTCCTCCTGGGTCATGAGTCCTTTGGCAATGAGGTGCTCTGCATAGGTATCTGGGATACTCTTTCGGGCTCTGTTCAAGAAAGAGGGAGAAGAATTAATCTGATTTGTAAACATCTGAGAAAGACAGACTGAGTCATTGTCAAAGGTATTATGAAGTATCATACTTAGAAAAGTCACACAGGAAATCTTTTGAAATTAGATAGAAGGGGTGGTTGCACAATATTGTGAATGTACTAAACACCAGAGTTGCTCACTTTACTATGGTCCATTTATGTGATGTGCTTTTCAACCAACAAGTTGTTTATTAATAGCACAGAGTGGTAAGAATCCACTTTTTCCAGGCAAGCAAGAAAAGCAAATTTAGAAGCTTTTGTCTACATCCAGGTAGAAATAATTAGAATAGAATTTTCCATGAAATGTTAATTCTGGAAAGAGTTTACAGGACTGACCTAGATTATCTATCCATCTGGTACCCCTTTATTTGAAAAGTATGGAACTCAATGTTGCCAACATCTGTTTCAGGTGGCTTTAAAATTCCTGTAATTAGAATCATGAACTCTTGGGTTTTACAATAACCACAGATGTTATGGAACATTCGTATAACTATAAAATCTGTTCACAGTATCATCATATTTAATCTTGACAAAAGTGAAGACAGGCAGGATAAATTTCTTTAAGTGAATTCTTGCTGTAATTCAAGTAATTCAGCTGCTAAATTCAGACTTTGAAGGCGAAGCCAGGTGTGTACTTCCGATAGCAGTCTGCTACCTCTGACTAGAAAAGCTCATAAAATGTCACCAAGTTTATTTCTCTGCTTTAATTTGTTATCTATGAGGAATCTATTTTACCTTTACTTTCTAGTACCTAAAAAGGAAATTCCAAAGTAACATCTTGCCTCTCCACCATAGTGACCTCCACCATAGTGACCTTCTGCCTTAGCACTGCTGGATAGAAATACAATGTAAGCCATCAGTGTAATTAAAAATCTCCTAGTGGTCACATTAGAAAAGTAAAAAGAAATGAATTAGTTGTAATAAAGTATTTATTTATAACTCAGTGTATCCAAAACATTGTCACTTCAATATCTAATATAAAAATATTGTTGAAATGGTGTATATTCTTTTTATCATACTAAGTCTTTGAAACCTGTGGGCTATATCATATCTCCATCAGGAGATGGAGTGACAAATGAAATGTTTAATTTACTAAGACCTGGTGGCTTTTGTATTGGACAGTGTAGTTCTGAACACCTTTAAAATCCATCATCTTACCATTTAATAAGGTACAAAGTAGACTTGTGGAAGCAAATCAAGGCGCTACTGTTTCTGAGTCTGTTCATGTTATACTAAGTAGTTTTGGGCAAAATGCGAAGTCCCCCTACTCAAGGTCTTCCCAGCTTCACGGCTAATTTAAGTGGCCCGTGTCTATCTTCCAAGAAACATGTAGAGTTTGGATATGGGGAACTGTTCAGAGACATGCAAGGGAAGCATCCCACTGTCCCAGTTTAAGACTGAAAGTTCATGTCCCAGGTAAAAAAGGAGAGTTGGTCGCCCTACTTGACAGTGTGTAATAAAAATAATAATGCAAGGGTCTCCCAGGTGGTGCAGGGGGTTAAGTGTCAGCACTACAAAGCTCTCCTCAGTCACTGGTATGAGTTAGACCCCCAGCCAGGGAGCTGACCCACGTGGTGTAACAGACCTCTCTTGTCTCCCTCACTGCTGCTCCCCTCAGCAGTGTATCTCAGTCAATCTGCCTGTACTGTCCCCACTCTGTCTCTGGTGAATCCTCTCACCTCCATGCACCACCCCCACACACACACACCTCTGTGGCCTGTACCCAGTTCTTGTATGCATAAGTAAATAAATCTTAAAAAAAATAATAATGCGAGTATTATATGGGACAAGGGCTTCAGACAAAATTTTGTCCTTGTATATGGAAACAGCCCAAATACCCAAAAGTGGATGACTGGATAAAAAAGATGTGGTACATATACACAATGGAGTATTACTCAGCAACCAAAAAAAGTAAACACATGTCTTTTGCAGCAACATGGATAGAGCTGGAAAAGATCATGCTTAGTGACATAAGCCAGAAAGAAAAGGAAAATACTAGATGTCTTCACTCATACAGGAGTATAAAGGACCAGGGGAGAAAATTAAAATTAATAATGAACAGCTATATAATAGCTGTAGAGACATTTTATGGGGGTGGAGTGGGGAATGGAATCAAAAACAGTGGGGGGAGGGAAATGCACTGGACTATGGTGCTGGCACATGGGTGATCTGGTAATAGGAAGCCCACGGGGATTACAACTGAGATGGAAAAAGGCACAAAAGGATGTAAAAATAAACTTTTATATTATTTAAAAATAAAAGATCATATCAAAAAGCAAAAAAAAAAACACAAAAGTCTGTCATTGCACCTGATGACTCTGTACATGACCGGGTTGGTGAAGAAGGGCTCGTCCAGCTCATTGTGGCCCCACTGCCTGTAGCACAACAAATCAATAATCACATCCTTCCGGAACTGGCGCTGGTATTCAAAAGCTAGTCGCGTGGCACGGACCACTTCCTCTGGGCTATCTCCGTTGACATGGATAATGGCACAGCCCACAAGTTTCCCTGAGGGAGAGAAGACCAGGATGAAGCAGGCCACGGACCCTATAGGGTAGTAATCCACATCCAACTCATATTGCCTGTGTGGAGACAGTCCATTTACTGGGGGGTAGTTTGGCCTGGTTTTTAAGAACCCATATTTTGGAGTCCAGATGACAACAATGAGTTCAAGCCCAGGTTTTGCGACTTAGAGTATAGTTTGGTAAAATATGAATCTCAGATTCCAGTTATCACAACAGGATAATAGTTTCTCTAAGTGGTATCATAAAGAATAAATGAGTTAACACATACTAAGTGCTTAGCATGCCCAGTGCATAATATCCTACCTATTTTGTTTCTGCAATGATCTTTCCTCCAAGATGAAAAGGTCATTAAAAAACACATCGGGGCCCTCCCTGGTGGCGCAGCGGGTTAAAGCACAGCACTGAGAATCTAAAGCCGCTTCTGCATGAGTTCGATTCCCGCCTGCCCCGGAGGAGACCACATGGCATGGCAGACCTCTCCTGACCCGCCCGCTGCTCCCCTCAGCAGTGTACTTTGTTGATCTGCCTGTTCTGTTCCCCACTCTGTCTCTGGTGAAGCCTCTCACCGCCCCTGAGCCTCTGGCCTGTACCCCAGTTCTGTATGCACAAATAAATAAATCTTTAAAAAAAAAAAAACACACATCGGACCCTCTCTGTGGCTCAACAGGTTCCTCTCAGCAGTGTATTTCAGTAGACCTGCCTGTTCTTTTCCCCCCTCTGTTTCTGGTGAATAGTCTCACCCCACACCTCTGGCCTACATCCTAGTTCTTGTAGATATAAATAAATAAAAAGAAAAAGAAATCTTAAAAAAAAAAAGTAAGATAGGATAAGCAGCAAGGTTCACTGTCTGAGTAAACTACTACAAATTCCTCCAGAAATGTGTTCTCTGATTCAGTGACATCGACTCAGCCCTTTGTTACCTACCAATATCACTACAGTATAAGGAAGACCTTCCCCTCTCTGCTGGAGTGGTATAGCCCAGCTGGTTATTCACAATCAGATGGACACTCCCACCAATTCTGAAATGCGGGAGATTAGAGAGTGTAAATGTTTCGGGAACAATCCCTTGGCCACAGAAAGAAGCATCACCGTGAACCTAAATCATGGAGAAGAAAAAGGAAAAGAAACATAAGGAATTGAGACACTTAGGCTGGTGCACTGAAAAACATTGCTTTCAAATTATAACAGAAATTAAAAGCAACCACCCTCCCAATGTTTTCCTGCCCTCCTAAAAATCAGCTGGTTACAAGATTTTCTAGAATGGTTAGATTGAACTCAAGCAGCTTTCAAAGAGGCTACATAAATCCTTTTCTTCTTGTAGCCGTACCAATTGACCTACTCATTTCTCCCTACATCACCTATGCCCATCACATAAGCAGTCAGTTCAACAGACCATAGAAAGAAGGGCTGTGGGAGGTGGAGAAGGAAAGCTAGCACTAGTGAAGCTTTCAGGAATCAAGTCTGTAAGACAAGAGGAACAGTGCACACTTTGAGCTCTTCCAAAATCATACTGCCCCCGGAAGGAAACTGCATATAGCTTACATCAGCTAATCTTCACTAGGTGTGTTGTCAACTGTGCACATAAAAGAGAGTGATGCAAGGACAAAGATAGGATGTGTTGGGGGGCGGGGTGGGTCTATCATACACCAGTGAAAGGACGCTTTGAGGAATATAAAATATTATTATGAGAGAATGTGTAAAATGTGCTGCTATTCTGGAAATGGATGCCTGCTAGATCATCATCAGGAAACCTGGCTGGTAGACAAAGGTATTAGGAAAGGGGGAGATTTTCAAACAAAAGTTGGCAGCAGATAATGATAAAATTGTAGATGTAGGAAGATCTAAAAGAAAATGTGACTGTAATGACTTTATGTTAGAAAGCTAGTATTGTAAACAGTCAAATTGCTGAAATAAAAAGCAAAATGATCTGATAAGCCCTAACTTCAGGTAACTAATGTGGCTCTAATATAAAAAAAAGTACAAGACTTAAAAATGAATGAAGAAAGAAAACTTGGAAGTATAGTTATTTATCAAATGACATTGCTAGTTTCCTTAAATGTCATTTCTGGGTCCTCCCTGGTGGCGCAGCGGGTTAAAGCACTAAGAAGCTAAAGCCACTTCAGCATGAGTTTGATCCCCTCCCCGGAGGTGACCCATATGGCGCGACAGACCTCTCCTGTCTTGCTGTTCCCCTCAGCAGTGTACTTCGTCGATCTGCCTGTTCTGCTCCCCACTCTGTCTCTGGTGAATCCTCTCACTGCCCCTG